CAGATCGACAATTTATGTAAGCCTAGAAAATAAAGTTAACAATGTAAATAATTTATGTACACATCAATAAGCCTTGAAACTATTGGTCAGTTCTTAGACAATTTGTTAATTCATCATCCCGTGCAACGTCCGGGTAAAAGACTAGTTATTAGATAAGAGCTAGAAATTACTTAAGACAGCCCATATATATATTTGCTATATAATAAACCATGATGAAGTATTGAAGTTAGAGCATAAACACACTTGTACTGCGAATAATGTAATATGCACAATCTTGTATGGTGCTGGCGTGGTGCCCCAATATTCGATGAAACTTTCTGTAGATAAAGTAGTCTATGTTGTAAAAACCGGACTGGTGAGCGACCCGGTCATGTGACTGGGGCACGGGTCAACCCGGATCCGGAGGGTCAACCCGGTCAAAGCCGGAAAACCGGTCAACGATTATACGTCTATATAATAATAATAATAAACATATAATTATATACACTCTCATTATATATTTTTATTTGTATTGTACATTAATATTATAATTTGGCATGATTTTCATTCTTAAATAAATATATAAATATATTACATAGTTTTTCTTTTTAGGGAATTGAAATGACAATTTTATTGGTTTAAAAATGCATTAAAACTAAAAAAGAAATTACTTTTTTTTTTTTGGAAAAGACCGAAAACCGGATTTTCCCGGGTTTTTCGGGTTTCTTGGGTCGGGTCCGGATCGATTTTTTCGGGTCAGCCGGGTTTTTCCGGTTTTTGACCATTTTCGGGTTTTGAAGAAACCGAACCGGATTTTTGTCCGGGTCACCGGGTTCCAGGTCAACCCGGCCGGGTCGGGTCGGTTTTTTAAACATAGAGATAAACGTGAGCCCTTGTGGCACATCGAACGTAAGGAAAATCATGTTTCCACTGTTTTAATTGCAGTCGCGACTCGCGAATATGGCAACGTCATCATACTCAATAGAATTGGCAAAGAATGAAAGAAGTAGTATTACATATTTACATTCTAGTAAGTATTCTAGGATTTAATTGGAATTCAATGTGATAATAGGATCTGACTTCTGACTATCTAAGTATGACAACATGATTTCAGAATGACAATACTTACACGTTTAGAGCCCGTTTGGTATAGAGCCCGTTTGGTGACCTTTTTTCAGCTTATCAGATTTATCAACCAGTTTTTTTTATCAAACACGTAACTTTTGATTTCGCGCGCTGAATTGTGTAATAAGCAGAAAAAGTAAGGTTGGAGTTACTTTCCTGGCTGTATTGACTGAAATTACTGTAGAAGATCATTTTAGCTATTTTCTCATATAATTTTTTATTTTATTTATTAATAACGAATATTTTAAATATAATTTTTTCATGAATCAGCAGAATCAACCAATACAGCCACTTCAGTCAAAACTTCCTAAATTTCAGCAGAATCGATCAGCCATTTCAACCAATTTTAGTGTTACCAAACGGGCTCTTAGTCAAGAAAAACGTAAAATGCTATTTCACCAAACTATTTTATACTACTTCCGTCCCAAATTGATTTGCAAATTTGATTTTTTTTTGTCAAACAGTTTCATTTTATTTGCTTACTTAGGATGTCAATTTTTAATTATATTCTAATTTTGAGTTTCCAACATTGAAGAAATTTTAATGTAGTTTCTGAATATGTAAATTTTAATTATTAAAAATTGAGTTAATTATCGATAGGGAGGATTGACGTTTATTATTGGTTGACAAAAATGTTGATTTTGCAAAACAATTTGGGAAGAGAGTGTTGTCACAACCAACGATCCAACTTTCTATTGTGACCTCCCCATCTTTCTAGTTAGTACCTAAATGTGGAGTATAGGTATACATAATACATATATGGGTAGTTTTGAAGACCCCTAATGTTATATTGTGAGTTGGGCTACAATGAAATATCCACGAAGGCTGTGGTGTGGAACCAAGGATAAAACCGCACACCATTCACGAGATGAGTCAGGGAATTGCCCGGAAATGCATGTCATTTACTAGACAATGTATGAATATAATGGGCATGTTTGACTAAGAATTTTACCATCCTTGTCGCGGGGTATTCATGGCAATGAACTGGACGGGAACTTAGAGCATCTCCAATGCTAAAACGTTAACGGTGCATACGTGACATGGAAAATAACCAATTAAAAAATAATAAATACAATCTCTCTCTCCTTATTTGAAGGATCTTACATCATTTTGGTAAGTTTTTCTTCACAATGTCAAGCACAATGTCTAGATGTAGACATTGTGATTGACACTGCAGACAAAAACTTACCATAAACACATAAGACCGTGAAAAGAAGGAGAGAGATATTGTATTTATTGTCTTTTAATTGATTATTTCTCATGCCACGTATGCACTGTTAACGTTTTAGCATTGGAGATGCTCTTAGTCATGGAATGGAACAAGATCTTTTTATGAAATTAGGTGCTTCAACAGACCAACAGACTAAATATTTATATATTTTTGTCTAATAATAATCTTCTGTTACTACGGGCATAATTTTCGAATATCAAAATCTTCACTCTTGGGTGTTTGGAACTGATTCTGCTTCTGCATCTACTTTTTCTTTAAAGCAGAAGCAAAATATGAATCAGTTTTTCATGAGTAAATTAGAGCACCAGAATCACTTCTGCACTTTCACCCAAACACTCCAACTTCTGCTTTTGCTATCTGAAGAAACAGTAGCAGTTTTAACAATCACATCCAAACAACCCAAACAACCCGTAATCAAGAGTATATATTTCGAGCATAAGACCTGATTTTATGTAGATCTCTTCAAGTCTGACGCTATTTTACATGCAGTTTGGGACCAATACTTTGGAGCCAGTTTGGGCAGGTCCGCAGACCCATCTGGTATTGGCTTGGACTCATGACTCTTCTTCAATTATGGCCATCGACTTTTGCTATTTTACTAAACTGTATATTTATGTAATATGATAATACGGAGTATGATTTTAGGATTAGGATGTTTTGTTTTGGACTGTTTTCAGTCCCAGACCAGACCAGACTTAAACAGACTAGACCAGACCAGACTTAAACAGACTAGACCAGACCAGACTTAAACAGACCAGACCAGACTTCCGTAGTTATAAAATACACAGAGACCAGACGTTTACCAGACCAGACCAGACTTAAACAGACCAGACTAGACCAGACCAGCAAATTTCAGTCCAAAAGAAAACATCCTTACATGACTTTACTCCCATTTATTTGAAATTTTCCTAAAATAAAATGAAAGTATATTGTTGAGGTTGTTTTCAAACTAATAATGTTAAAATTCGAGGTTACATCTTAAGAGATCAACTTGATAGGAGAATTAGTCCAAAGTCTAATATAGTGTTTAATTGCTTTCCTCCAAATGTTTTAACAATAAATAAATTAAAGAGTATTCCCCACTCTATGCCTTTCAAAGTTATTTTCATATTTTCCCTTTCAATATAATTCACCCTAAAGTAAATTATACTCCCTCTGTCCCTAAAAGAAATTTCATTTCACTATTCAATTGGTCAACTTAAATCACTCTTAATCTCTTACTTTTTATATCAAAAAATTTATAAAAGTTGAATTATTTTTTGCAGGCTTTGTAGCGGGTTTAATGTAGTTTCTGAATATGTAAATTTTATTTACTAAAAATAATCCGACTTTTCACAGGGATCATTTAACTTTATCGTCGGTCAAGCTTCGTAATCCGCAATTGGAACAACATTTAGGGACGGAGGGAGTACTCCGTATTATTCTTGTAGGCAAAGAACTTTGGGAAATTATAAAATTCTGTCTTCCACAATTCACAATCATAAAATTTTCATTTGTGTAGTTTACGTGAAAAAAAGGTAAACATTCAGACAAAAGTGAGATTTCGAGATGAAGTAAGTTTTTACCAAAGTTTTTTTCTTTTTTTGAATATAAAGGATCGACTTTTATATTTAAATCCAAAAATGATACAAGATAATATCCAAACAGTTATGACAAATCCGATTGTGAGTTCTGGGAATAACCATAGAATCAGTCACCTCATACAAAGCAACCTGATTCACTATACACGAAACGAGCAATTTAAAGTCCAAAATAATCGGAACTGAAATATGCCTATGACATCAGAAGTCAAAATTTCAAAACCAAACTCGCTAAAACTAAAATAAAAACAAGTACTCTTAAAGAAATGATAAAATTGAAATAAAGACTTTCCACAATACTATTCATGATATGAATGTGATTCTAGAGGAGGACGAGCTCTACCAATGTCTTGGCACTCTAACGGCCCGTTTGGATTGAGTGTTGATGAGTGTTAGTAATGGAAAGTTAGTAAGTGTTGATAATAACACTTGTTTGTGAGAAAACTTAAGAGATGTTAAGAAGTGTTAGTAAAAGTTAGGAAATGTTAATAATAACCTTCTCAACACCTCAATTGTCCACTTTTTTAACACCCCTATTTGGAGTGTTTTGAGGTGTTGGACAATTATTACTCTTCTCATTTACCCTAAACACATAAAATGTTTTGATATCTCACTTCGAATTTCTTTCCCGCGAGTCCGATGGTCTGCATTTTTCATCTCTTCTCCTTACTCGTTTCTTCTGCTTCAAGGTAAAATTATTAACACTTCCATTATTAACACTTCATTCATTAGACTCTCTCACAAAAGGTAAAAAACACTTCCATTACTAACACTTCCAAACACTTCATCCAAACCAGCCCAAAAAAATAGCAAAAATAATAAATTAAATTGCAAGTTCCGTATCTATAACAATCTTTAAATTTACCAAACAAAAGCAAAGATAATACGTAGCATGACATGAGCCAAATCAAAACTCAATTTGATCCAAAGTTTTTGATAACTAAAAATAATGCATGAATCATCAAAGTATGAAGTAAGCCGCTTAGCACCTGGCAGGACCGACCGGGGTACACTTGGGAACCAGTCGGTCTAGATAGATAGATCGATATCACTTCGCATACGTCTTCTTACATCTCAGTACCCATCTTACTCTGTATTTAAAGCCATGGAGTTTGAGTTTAAGACACCATTAATGAGATACGCATAATCCCAAAACAATTAGCGATATCCGTACCGACCACCGCGAGAAAGGGACGCGAGAAAGAAGAGCACCCAGAACTCGGTGCTTTTTCTCTCTCTACAGCAAATCCGTACCCTTTTTTCTAGGTTGTCTCTCACCACTCTTCACCTTCACTTTGCCTGATTCCCAAAGCTGAAAAGCGCACCCACCCCTTCGCTTTTTCTTCGTGTTCTTCTAAGTTGTTGGGTCCTGGTGAAGTAATATTCAAAATATACCCAGAAGAACCTTATCTGCTAAATCCCTAAATTCCGCAGCTTCTCCTTATTAGCTCCGCTGAACCTTCAAGAGTTGAAGGTATATTCATTTTCTTTTGCATCTACTTGTTCTGTTTGGTTATGTTTCTGATACGGAGAAATGTTTAATTTCTGGGTTGTCAATCTGCTGCTCCTATATTCGTGTAGCTGGAAAAAGTTCCTGATTTTGCTGCTTCTTTGTTCTAAGTTTAATGCTTTTTTTTTAATTTAAATTTTGAATAATGTATATGGCGATATTTATTTGGTTAAGTTTTGCTTTCCATCAGCCAAATCTAGCTACAATTTGCTTTTGCTAGAGTACAATTATTTTTAGTCAATAATGGAGTTTCGACTTTTCAGCAGGGCACATCCAGATCTAACGTTTCGAATAGGGTTTTCGCACTTGTCTTATTACTGGTTTATTTTTTTTTTTTATTTTTTTTTAATTTTTTATCTGTCATATATAATCGGTTCTATGTGTGATTATTTGAAGTTATGGCATCCTTCAACTACTAATTTCTTGTTGCATCTGTTTGAAATAGAGAGGTTGAAGATGCATAAACCACCTCAAGAAGACTTCTCTCTTAAGGAAACCAAACCACACCTTGGTGGGGGGAAGGTCACAGGTGATAAGCTCACCAGCACCTATGACCTCGTTGAGCAGATGCAATATCTCTATGTCCGGGTGGTCAAAGCTAAGGACTTGCCTGCGAAGGACGTCACCGGTAGCCTCGATCCATATGTGGAGATCAGGCTTGGAAACTACAAGGGCACGACTGGTCATTTTGAGAAGAAAACCAACCCGGAATGGAACCAAGTCTTCGCCTTCTCGAAGGACAGGATGCAGGCTTCCATGCTTGAAGTCCAGGTGAAGGATAAGGATCTTTTCAAGGACGATTTTGTTGGGCGCGTCATATTTGATCTGAATGAGATCCCGAAGAGAGTCCCGCCTGACAGCCCACTGGCGCCACAGTGGTACAGGTTGGAGGACAGGAAGGGTGAGAAGATCAGGGGAGAGCTTATGTTGGCTATTTGGATAGGCACTCAGGCTGATGAGGCGTTCCCTGAGGCCTGGCATACAGATGCAGCGGCTGTTAGCGGGTCCGACGGGCTTTCGAGCATAAGGTCAAAGGTCTACCTCTCCCCCAAGCTTTGGTACTTAAGGGTTAACGTGATCGAGGCCCAAGATTTGGTCCCAAATGATAAAAGTAGGTACCCTGAAGTGTTTGTTAAAGCTATTCTAGGTAATCAGGCTTTGCGGACACGGGTTTCAACTGCCAAGAGCATCAACCCGATGTGGAACGAGGATTTGATGTTTGTGGTCGCCGAACCGTTTGAGGAGCCACTGCTTCTTAGCGTGGAAGACAGAGTTGGGTCCAACAAGGACGAGATTCTTGGAAGGTGTGCCATCCCTTTGCAGTACGTTGATCGGAGGTTGGACCATAGGCCAATGAACTCAAAATGGTACAATCTTGATAAGCACATGGTTGAGGGCGATAAGAAGGAAGTGAGATTTGCCAGCAAGATTCACATGAGGATATGGCTGGAGGGTGGTTATCACGTTCTTGATGAATCGACCCATTATAGTAGTGATCTTAGACCAACCGCGAAGCAGCTATGGAAATCCAATATTGGTGTTCTTGAACTGGGTATCCTAAGTGCCCAAGGGCTCACGCCCATGAAGTCGAAAGAGGGACGAGCAGCGACTGACGCTTATTGTGTTGCCAAGTACGGGCAGAAGTGGGTGCGGACCAGGACTATAGTTGATAGCTTTGCCCCTAGGTGGAATGAACAATACACTTGGGAAGTGTTTGATCCTTGTACTGTCATAACCATTGGTGTTTTCGATAACTGTCATCTGCATGGAGGTGAAAAGTCCGGCGGGCCTAGTGGCCCGAGGGACACGAGGATCGGGAAGGTGAGGATCCGGCTTTCGACGCTGGAAACGGATCGGGTGTACACCCACTCTTACCCGCTCCTTGTCTTGCATCCAAATGGAGTGAAGAAGATGGGTGAGATCCAGCTGGCGGTTCGGTTCACTTGCTCTTCGCTACTCAATATGATGCATATGTACTCGCAGCCGCTTCTCCCGAAAATGCACTACATCCACCCGTTGACGGTTATCCAGCTGGACAGCCTGAGGCACCAGGCGACTCAGATTGTTTCAGCAAGGTTGAGTCGGGCTGAGCCACCACTGAGGAAGGAGGTGGTGGAGTACATGCTTGACGTTGGGTCCCACATGTGGAGCATGAGGAGGAGCAAGGCAAACTTCTTCAGGATCATGGGGGTTATAGGCGGGGCGATTGCAATTGGGAGATGGTTCGACCAGATATGCAACTGGAAGAACCCAATCACAACAGTTCTCATCCATGTACTCTTCTTGATCTTGGTCCTCTACCCGGAACTGATCCTCCCTACCATTTTCCTATACCTCTTCTTGATTGGGGTGTGGCACTACAGGTGGAGGCCGCGCCACCCTCCCCATATGGATACCCGATTGTCATGCGCTGAGAATGCCCATCCTGATGAGCTGGATGAGGAGTTTGATACCTTCCCGACTTCCCGTCAGCCTGATGTGGTGAGGATGAGGTATGACCGCATAAGGAGCATTGCTGGGAGGATTCAGACCGTGGTTGGGGATTTGGCTACCCAGGGCGAGAGGTTGCAGTCTTTGCTGAGCTGGAGGGACCCGAGAGCCACGGCACTATTTGTGATCTTCTGTCTGATTGCTGCCATTGTTCTCTATATCACTCCTTTCCAAGTTGTCGCCCTCCTGTCCGGGTTTTACGTCCTAAGACATCCAAGGTTCCGCCATAAACTCCCGTCTGTGCCGCTTAACTTCTTCAGAAGGCTTCCGGCCAGGACAGACTGCATGCTATGAGAGCAAAATATTCTACCGTTGCTGCTGCTTTTGGATGGGGTGTTTCTCCCCATCAGCTTTGCATCTAAATATATTATTAGGGCTTGGTAATATTAGTGTGTCTAAGTTATGGACTAGTTTGCCCCATTTGTTGGCGGCCTTTTTTATTTGGAGTCATTTAAAGAAGTGTTATGGAACTTTAGTGTTATTATTAATCAATCTATGGCCTAATAGTAAAAGGCAAGTGTTAATGCATTTTGGTTATGTTTCCTATAATATAGGTTATAAAGGCTAATACTTTATGGGAAATTGGTTAAAGTACATATCAAGTGTGTTGGTAGGATTAATGCTTTGAGAAGTTATGTAATGTAATCTACTGAATCTGGAAATCTTTTGAGGGATGAGTGCTCAACTGTTCTGTTCAGTCCAGTTTATTTGGATACGCAATCTACTTTCTTCATAGAAGTGATTACGTGATTTACGTCGTTCTATTATTTCCATATCTTTTATAGGAAAGTTTTCAAATAAGCATAAGCAACCTAGGGGTGTGCACCCGTGGTAACGGGACCTAAACCGGAACCAGATTTGCAGAAAACTGAATTGGATATATTTCTGTTTTGAATTGGACCGGAAGAACTAGTCTCTAAATTATTAATTTAATTCACTAAAAATTACAATTAACTACTCGTTAATAAAAATGGGGTATTTGTTACTAATAATATTACTATTATCATTATTATTTATTTATTTACTTTTATTAGTCTTACCATTTGAGTGTATAATAATACGTATTAAAATGTTAGTTAATTCTATTATCAAGAAAATAAGAATAAATAGATGAATAAAACATTAGGAAAATATACAACATATTAAAAAAATTAATATATAAATTTTTATAACCATTGTTATTTTTATTATTCTATAACTATTTTATATTATTACATTTAATAAATATATTAATAAATATAGCGAAGTCAGTTTAATCCGGTTCAAACTGGAACAATCTGGTTTTTAACCGGAACCGGACCGAACACTAGATTTATAATATTTATAAACCGAATATTGGGCCGGAGATCTTCTTGGTCGGTTCAGTTTGGTTTCGATTTTTCGATCTCTCCGGTCCTGTTTTCTGATTTGAACCGGTATGTCCACACAACTAAAGCAACCTAATGAAATAATGTTTTATAGGGTTAATAAATAATCTTTGATTTGTTGAAATAATATCTCACCATTTATTTATGTTTAAATTATGCAAAATATTTTGATCTCATCAGTTCATTTATTATTATTCATATAATAATAATATAAATATAGTAGTAGTTCTAATAAGTTTTTTCCTTCAAAAATATTATTAAAATAAATTTATTTACACGATAAGACTAATAGTTTCTACAATGTGGTGTTACGATAACTTAAGTTTAAAAATTAAACATAAGTTATTATAATTTCATTACTACATTAGTCACTAGTCACATTTTTGTAAACATTTTTTATTCTAGTCATAAATATGTAATAATCTCTTCTAATGATTGGCCTTACAAACAACACTGCTAATAAATCACCTTCATGTTCCGCGGATTTAATTTTGTGGACCACCTGAAGGTTCGGAACTAGATCTAAACCGATTGGTTTTCAATTCCCAATTAGAATTTAAGAGCTTGTTTGGTGATCCTGTTTTACGGGTTATCAATCTTGTCAGTCATTTTTTTCACTAAGTACATATTTTTATATTTTACGTGCGGAATTGTGTAATAATCAAAATAAATTAGAGGTTGATCCAAACTAGAATTGACACACTCAATTAAGGTTCTAGATCTAAAACTTCATTTCAGTCGGATGATTTCTCATCATTTTACCAAATTCAAACGTCACAGAAATAATAAAATAAAAATTCTATGTCAAGATTTATCTACAGAAGATAAAATAATAAAAATTAGAAATTAAAAGATTAAAAGAGAAAATGATAAAAATTGTGAAATAACCTTAAAAGGAAAGATGGTTATTATAAGTTGCAAGGGATTGAGGAAATTCGAAATAGTATATAATGTACTACCTCTGTCCCATTCAAAGGTTTCAGATCACTATTCACATGGTCAACTTAAATCATTCTTTATCTTTTTCTTTATACATCAATTTTTTTTAATCAAAATTACATTTTTATCACGCTTTGTAGCGGTTTTAATGTAGATTTTAAATATGTAAATTTTATTTACTAAAAGTCTAAAAATAATCAGAGTGTGAACAGAGATCAAGTTGCTTTATCGTCAGTCAATCATCGGAAACCGAATCGGGAATCTCTCTATGAGACGGAGGGAGTAGTTCGGAATATATGTATGGGTGGAAACAGTCCTCATTTTCCTACAGTCCCAGCCCAGTCCTAGAAAAATCATAAAGCTCGGAATCAGGACCTATAATTCCGATTCCGCCCCATCCTACATCTGTAAACCCTCCATTGCCCCTGAAACGCAAAAAAAAAAATTGGAATTGTCACTGGATTGACCAGTTTTGTTCCCAAACATTGAGGCTGAGACTTCTTCGCACTCGGCGCAAAACCTTATTTTCCGGCCCCTGTTCGAAAACAGGCCAGTCCCGAAAATCATGTCCCTTATTTTGTAATAGAGAAAATATATGATTGTGCTCCATATACTTTCTCTTAAGTAATACTCTCTCCGTCTTAAATTGATTTGCAAAGTCTACTTTTTGGCCAATCAATGCTAATGTTAAATCTTCCCTATTAGTTGTTAATTCAATTTTAATTATTAATTTTTCCATATTGATAATCTCATCCTCCAACATAATTAGTTCGTGTTCTTATTCTTGCTAAGCACCCAATCTGCATTGATGCTTGAGACTTCAAGTAATTTTGTGTCTGGCTAGGTAGAGTTCCCACCGTGCACATTCTAGTACAATTCCAATTATGCCTCCTTTGTTTTTCACTGTCGTCCTTATGAATTACTCTTACCGGAAAGCCTACACTTATTAATATGCCTTGTAAAAAGCATACATTGCATCTTTGCTATCACATTCGATGTCGACATTTGGAGGATGCGTAACACTGACTCCTGCAGCGGGGTCTTCTCTACACATGTTATTCAAAATGTGTCATACCTTTTACACACTACAAATAGTGGTATATAATGAATATAAGAAATACAACATATTATACGTCTGTACGTACAAACAATATTGTGCACATCACAACAACGTGTGTCAATGCGTACAAACAACTTCCACCACTTGTATGATAATTAACAAACACCAAAGTACACATAAAGCCGCAACAACTACAATAACATAGAGGAAGCGGTCCATTATAGAAGATGACAACCACAAAACTCATTCTCACGTACAATAACTCATTCTCACGTACAAGAGGTCTCGAGTTTGAAACTCCATGGAGGGAGTTTCAGCTTTGTTTACCCTAGGCTCCCCCCCACTAAAAACAATAACGTAGACAACCACAAAACTCACCATCTTATACAACAAATACACACATTCCATATGCTCATGTAGACATTTATTTTGCTTACAACAAAAATGAACTCGTTTGCCAACACGGACAATATATATTGCGCAAATCACAACAACGTACGCTTGTGCCTATAGACAATTTACACCATTTGTCTGAAAATTAACCAATACCAAAGTATATACTCCCTCCGTCCCGTTAAGATTGCCCCAGATACTATTCACTTGGTCAACACAAATCACTCTTAATCTCTTATTTTATATATCAATTTTTTTTATCAAATTTGATTCAGGTGTTTGCAACTTTGTAAAGATTTTAATGTAGTTTCTGAATATGTAATTATTTTTCTCTAAAAATAATTTGAGTGCGGACAGGGATCTGTTTGCTTTATCGTCGGTCAAGCATCGTAAACCGAATTGTCTCAAACATAGTGGGACGGAGGTAGTACATAATTACAGGATGGATTACATTGCTGGAACTCTGCATTACTAGAAGAATCGCATTTGTTTCATTTTATTTGTTTAAGTTGTTTCATATCTTTTTGTTTAAGCATGTTGTTGAAGTCCCACACGGAAAATTATAAAGTAGCAAAATGCTATCAGGCTAATCTTTTAGAATGAAACCCCATACATCATAATGTATCATTTCAAATGGCTTAGCAGCACATGCACAATTAAATACAAACACATTTTGAGTTTTCGTACACAAGCATCACATTTTGTTTACTAATCTGAGATACTCATTTATGCCACAAATGAATTGAATCCTTATGTTTCATTGGACAAGCATAATGTCCCAAGGTTGTGGAAATAGTACATTCCTCCACACAGTTTACCCAATCCAATCGGCGTCTTTGTAGTTAGGTCCTGTATCACACATAATTTGTTACTATAATATACATCGCAACTCAAATCCTCAACTAAGTGTGAAATTAAAACAAGATTGTACATAGATCCAAACACCAACAACACATTTTGTAACGCAAGTGTTGGACTCAATTTGGCAATGAGACCAACAAAGGTTTCATATTCTCTTTGTAAAAAATGGAATTCATATCTAGTGACTAATATACGTGACAAAGGGAAACCAACCCACGCCACTCAGAGTCACAATAGTCACGTCCACCCTCTTCCAGAAATTATAAAGTAATAAAATACTATATTATGATTTTCAATTAGTCTTCTATCAAGTCAATCTTTTAGGATGAAAGTTCAATACATATAGTGAGCCACTTAAAGTTTTTAGAGTTGTGAATGTACTTGACATAATTCTTGACTTCTTACTTAAATTTGTATTTTTCATATTGACTAAATTCATATAAAATTCATAAAATTGATGTAAATTATTAATGTAAATTAACACAATTCATTCATAGAAATCTATGAAATTAAAAAGTGTACGGACTTTTTAAAAAATCAACCACAAGAAATTCATGTAGAGTAATGTTTTGGCCAACATTTATTAGCAGATTCTCTTAACACCAACTCACCTTCACGTAACCGTTGTTTTTACTTGAGCTCAAAAGAAGTGTGATATTTGGTCTATCGTTGGCAATTTAGCAGCAAATAGCGATATCCCCACGAGAAAGGGACGAAAGAACAACACCCAGAAGGCCAGCACTGTGTTTTCTCTCTCTAGAAATCCGTACCCTTTTTGCTATGTCATTTCTCACCACCCTTCACCTTCACGCTGCCTGATTCCAGAGCTGACCCCTCCTCTCGCTTTTTTCTTGGTGTTCTTCTAAGCTGTTGATTCCAGGTGGAGTAATATTCACAATATATTCAGAACCTTACCTGCCGAATCCCTAAATCTTCTCCTTAGCTCCCCTGAACCTCTTCAAGGTATATTCATTTCTACCTCTAACTGTTCTGTTTGGTTATGTTTCTTCATGAAAATATATTTAATTTTTAGTTTGTGAATCTGCTGTTCCTATATAGCGGAAATTAATTTCTGTCTTTAGTGTTTCTTCGTTTTACGTTTTATGTGTAAATGTTTTGTTGTTATAAGCCAAATCTCCAATTTGTT